AATAAATCTGTTTTGCCGAAGGAAAAAAAGAATGTTTTTCTTTGTCTCTTTGTTTCAGGAGTTTTTCTCTGTGTCTTGGAGTAAATTTCTTTGAGCTTATCCTGTTTGAGGTTTTTTTCAGCTTCTTGAATCTGTAGGTTTTATATCTTTCGTCAAATTTGGGAAATTTTCAGCCATTATATTTTCAAATACTTAGAAATACTCAAATACTTAGAAAACCCACTCTTTTTTCTCTCCATCCAGGACTCTGATGATATGGCTTTAGATCTTTTATTATAGTCCCACAGGTCTGTGAGGCTTTGTTCAATTTTTTCAGTCTGTTTTCTCCCTATTGTTCAGATTGCAAATTTTTTATTTTATTTACTGATTTTTTCCTTTTTCTTCTTCATGGGCTGCTGAACCCATCTCTAATTTTTTATTTTAGTTATTATAATGTTCAATTCTAAAGTTCCCATCTCTGTTCTTCTCTGTATGTTCTCTTTCTTTGCTGACACTTTCTGTTTTTTTCAAGCATGTTTGCAATTGCTTGTTGAAGCATTTTTATGCTGCATTTAAATCCTTGTCCAGTAATTCTAACATCTTTGTCACTTCTGTGTTAGTATCTGTTGATTGTCTCTTCTCATTCAAGTTGAAATTTTCTTTGTTCTTGGGTTGATAGTGATTTTCAGTTGAAACTTGGGCATTTGGGGTGTTGTGTTGTAAGACTATACAGCTTATTTATTGTTTAAATCTTGTGTTTTAGCCCGGCCAGCATGGCTCATGGTTGAGCATCAACCCATGAACCAGGAGGTCATGGTTCGATTCCTGGTCAGGGCNGGTTGAGCATCGACCTAGGATCCAAGAGATCACGGTTCGATTCCTGGTCAGGGCACATGCCCAGGTTGCGGGCTCGATCCCCAGCAAGGGGCANACCAGGAGGTCATGGTTCGATTCCTGGTCAGGGCACATGCCCAGGTTGCGCGCTCGATCCCCAGCAAGGGGCGTGCAGGAGGCAGCTGGTTAATAACTCATCATTGGTGTTTCTCTCTCTCTCCCTCTGCTTTCCTCTCTCTGAAATCAATAAAGATATATTTTTAAAAAATAAAAAATCTTGTGTTTTAGCAGGCCTCCTCTGATACTGCACCAAAGGGAAGCGAGGGCACCATCTCATTATTGCCAGATGGGTTAGAAGTCCAAGTTTCTTATTTGGCTGCATTTTGCTGGGTGAGGTTGGAAATTCAGTCTCCCCACTGGGCCTCCTAGGCTGATACTGTCCTGGCTGGGAAGGATAGAAGTGCCTTGTGTCAGTTCCCCACCTGGTCTCCACTAATACTGCGGTGAGGGGCCTCATTACCACATGAAAGTTTGGCTCCCCCCTGAGCTCTCTCTGACACCAGCTAGGCGGGAAGGGTGCTTTGCTGTAACTGGGCAATAATGGAAGTCTAGACTCTATTTAGACCTTGTTGACTAGGGTTGTAGTTTTTTCTGTGGTGGCTGCTGGAATAGAGTGATTATTGTCTAAATGTTTTCTGCCTCCAGTTTGTCCTTTCCTGGTCCTTCAGCCAGAAAAGGCAGCCTCTTCTTCAGCTATTTTTGTGTGTGTGCCCATTGGTATTACTTTGTTGTTGGCTTCTCCATCACCTGGTCCGGTGCACCTAGGACACGGGGCAAAAAGAACTCCAAGGAACTATGATGTCATTTCTCCTCTCCTGCAGTCTCTAGCCAGTTGTTTTCTCTCTGTCTTTCAGAGTCTTTTTCTGTTTGTTTATATATAATGTCCAGGGTGTTTAGCTGTAGTTAGCATCAGGAATTCATTCCTTTCTTAATTATTTTAAACAACAGATACTTTATTATTTTCTTTATGCTCTGAAGGTGCTGCTCAGGAACAATTAGAAAGCTCAGATACTCCCTCCCTACCCCCAAGAAAATAACCTGTGTTTTGTTACATCAACACTTAAGAGTTTGCTGGATGTAGACTATAATGTTTGAGTATGTTCTTTCACAGAGCCACTTGTGTTGTCTTGAATTATTAAGAGCTTCTGTTACTAGATATGAAGATGTCATGAAGACATGCTTATTTATTGCTTAGTTGGGAAAGCTTGTTGTGGATTTGAGTATATGTTTTTAAAAAAGAAATATTATTGACCTGTGTAGTTAGGGCGATATATGTGACTCATGATTTTTGACGTAACAGTGGTATGATATACTTTACCTCAGAACATGTGCTAAGTTACCTTTTTTTTACCTTCTCAGCTGGAGCCGAGATGGTCATAAGCTTGTGAGTGCTTCCACTGATAACATAGTGTCACAGTGGGATGTTCTTTCGGGAGACTGCGACCAGAGGTTCCGATTCCCTTCACCCATCCTAAAAGTCCAGTATCATCCAAGAGATCAGTATGTTTAATCTGAGCTATTCTTTCCCGGGGTGGGGTCTGATAATATATGGATTAGCTCCAGGCTCATGACAATTTCAGTTTAAGGTTTTAGGAGGCAAATGCACACATTTCTTTAGACCTTCCACATAAAAAGCCTTTCTGTCTAGGTTGGCTCTACTACATAGATGTTGGGAGAATGTTATATAGTTCAAAGCTGGCCAAAATTAGGGCTTTGGAAATAGGCAGAGGTAGGAATAGGTATAATGACAGGTCCTTGACCTGACTCTCATCCCCCATCATTTGAATTTCCTTATTTGGGGAAATCGTTCAGTATTAAAACTGCATTTAAGAAAGAGTTACCCATTGTTCCATTACCCAGACATAACTTGTCTGCATTTCTCTGGGTTCTCTTTTAGTCAGATTCTCTTTCTGTATAAAGGTTGTTATATAATGCTTTATAGCTCACAAAGCATGAATATGCATGTTACATGTACATAAATCTGTACTTTCTACACGGTTTTAATCAGTATTTTGCTTTTTCACTTTATTTCATACATATCTCACTAGTTTGCTACATTTTTATTATAAGTGATTACATTTTATTTTGTCAAGGTAGGATCCCATAACTGTACTCAGTCATTTCTCTGTCATTAGACATTTAGATTTTAGGTTTTTTCACTATAATCAGNTAATTTTTTATTTTAGTTATTATAATGTTCAATTCTAAAGTTCCCATCTCTGTTCTTCTCTGTATGTTCTCTTTCTTTGCTGACACTTTCTGTTTTTTTCAAGCATGTTTGCAATTGCTTGTTGAAGCATTTTTATGCTGCATTTAAATCCTTGTCCAGTAATTCTAACATCTTTGTCACTTCTGTGTTAGTATCTGTTGATTGTCTCTTCTCATTCAAGTTGAAATTTTCTTTGTTCTTGGGTTGATAGTGATTTTCAGTTGAAACTTGGGCATTTGGGGTGTTGTGTTGTAAGACTATACAGCTTATTTATTGTTTAAATCTTGTGTTTTAGCCCGGCCAGCATGGCTCATGGTTGAGCATCAACCCATGAACCAGGAGGTCATGGTTCGATTCCTGGTCAGGGCACATGCCCAGGTTGCGGGCTCGATCCCCAGCAAGGGGCATGCAGGAGGCAGCTGGTTAATAACTCATCATTGGTGTTTCTCTCTCTCTCCCTCTGCTTTCCTCTCTCTGAAATCAATAAAGATATATTTTTAAAAAATAAAAAATCTTGTGTTTTAGCAGGCCTCCTCTGATACTGCACCAAAGGGAAGCGAGGGCACCATCTCATTATTGCCAGATGGGTTAGAAGTCCAAGTTTCTTATTTGGCTGCATTTTGCTGGGTGAGGTTGGAAATTCAGTCTCCCCACTGGGCCTCCTAGGCTGATACTGTCCTGGCTGGGAAGGATAGAAGTGCCTTGTGTCAGTTCCCCACCTGGTCTCCACTAATACTGCGGTGAGGGGCCTCATTACCACATGAAAGTTTGGCTCCCCCCTGAGCTCTCTCTGACACCAGCTAGGCGGGAAGGGTGCTTTGCTGTAACTGGGCAATAATGGAAGTCTAGACTCTATTTAGACCTTGTTGACTAGGGTTGTAGTTTTTTCTGTGGTGGCTGCTGGAATAGAGTGATTATTGTCTAAATGTTTTCTGCCTCCAGTTTGTCCTTTCCTGGTCCTTCAGCCAGAAAAGGCAGCCTCTTCTTCAGCTATTTTTGTGTGTGTGCCCATTGGTATTACTTTGTTGTTGGCTTCTCCATCACCTGGTCCGGTGCACCTAGGACACGGGGCAAAAAGAACTCCAAGGAACTATGATGTCATTTCTCCTCTCCTGCAGTCTCTAGCCAGTTGTTTTCTCTCTGTCTTTCAGAGTCTTTTTCTGTTTGTTTATATATAATGTCCAGGGTGTTTAGCTGTAGTTAGCATCAGGAATTCATTCCTTTCTTAATTATTTTAAACAACAGATACTTTATTATTTTCTTTATGCTCTGAAGGTGCTGCTCAGGAACAATTAGAAAGCTCAGATACTCCCTCCCTACCCCCAAGAAAATAACCTGTGTTTTGTTACATCAACACTTAAGAGTTTGCTGGATGTAGACTATAATGTTTGAGTATGTTCTTTCACAGAGCCACTTGTGTTGTCTTGAATTATTAAGAGCTTCTGTTACTAGATATGAAGATGTCATGAAGACATGCTTATTTATTGCTTAGTTGGGAAAGCTTGTTGTGGATTTGAGTATATGTTTTTAAAAAAGAAATATTATTGACCTGTGTAGTTAGGGCGATATATGTGACTCATGATTTTTGACGTAACAGTGGTATGATATACTTTACCTCAGAACATGTGCTAAGTTACCTTTTTTTTACCTTCTCAGCTGGAGCCGAGATGGTCATAAGCTTGTGAGTGCTTCCACTGATAACATAGTGTCACAGTGGGATGTTCTTTCGGGAGACTGCGACCAGAGGTTCCGATTCCCTTCACCCATCCTAAAAGTCCAGTATCATCCAAGAGATCAGTATGTTTAATCTGAGCTATTCTTTCCCGGGGTGGGGTCTGATAATATATGGATTAGCTCCAGGCTCATGACAATTTCAGTTTAAGGTTTTAGGAGGCAAATGCACACATTTCTTTAGACCTTCCACATAAAAAGCCTTTCTGTCTAGGTTGGCTCTACTACATAGATGTTGGGAGAATGTTATATAGTTCAAAGCTGGCCAAAATTAGGGCTTTGGAAATAGGCAGAGGTAGGAATAGGTATAATGACAGGTCCTTGACCTGACTCTCATCCCCCATCATTTGAATTTCCTTATTTGGGGAAATCGTTCAGTATTAAAACTGCATTTAAGAAAGAGTTACCCATTGTTCCATTACCCAGACATAACTTGTCTGCATTTCTCTGGGTTCTCTTTTAGTCAGATTCTCTTTCTGTATAAAGGTTGTTATATAATGCTTTATAGCTCACAAAGCATGAATATGCATGTTACATGTACATAAATCTGTACTTTCTACACGGTTTTAATCAGTATTTTGCTTTTTCACTTTATTTCATACATATCTCACTAGTTTGCTACATTTTTATTATAAGTGATTACATTTTATTTTGTCAAGGTAGGATCCCATAACTGTACTCAGTCATTTCTCTGTCATTAGACATTTAGATTTTAGGTTTTTTCACTATAATCAGTTTGCTTGGGCCAGAGGAGTTGGTGATGGTAGTGCATAGGGATTAGGGAGAACGGCAAGGGAATCAACCTTCTGATACCAAGGCAACAGCCAATGTACTATTCATATTTTTAAACAGGAACAAGGTTCTCGTGTGTCCCATGAAATCTGCTCCTGTCATGTTGACCCTTTCAGATTCCAAACACGTCGTTCTGCCGGTAGACGATGACTCGGACTTGAACGTGGTTGCTTCTTTTGATAGGCGAGGGGAATATATCTATACAGGAAATGCAAAAGGAAAGGTAAGCCTAGAAACCAGTGAAATACACCTTAGTCATCCTGTGCTTTGGCTCATTTCATGTGTACTTGTGCTACTTCCCCTGAAATTTCCTCTACCCCTGCACTAAGCATGCCTCCTGCCCATGGCAAATGTAGCCTATTTTTCTCTCATGCTTAATAATTTCTGTTCTTTGGATTTATAGTGGTCAGAGATGATGTGGCCTAGAGAAAGATGGAAGGGCCTTTACTGGATGCTACCAATGAAGGACCATTACTAAATTATAAAATTTAAAAGTCATATTATAAATGGGATGTTGCTGATGAAAATACCTAGTTCTGTAAAGATTATATATTCAGCCCAGTTTAACCTATAGTTTCATAGAAGTAAGGTTAGGTGAGTGTTAAGGTCCCTTTTAAGCTTAGAGTTTGTAGTTCCATTAGGCACCTTGATTTTTATTTATTTTATTTTTTTGACTGAGGCACATGAGCAAATATAATTTCATGGCTACTTTAGAAAGTGACAAATTTTTTTAAATTGTAGTAGAAAACCATTAATTACACACAACATAAAAGTTACCACCTTAACCATTAAGTGTATATAGTTCATTAGTATTAAGTACATTCACATTGTTTTGCAACCATCACCACCATCCATCTATAGAACTCTTTTCATCTTGCAAAACATTAAACAGTAACTCCCTACTTCCGCCCTCTGCCCCCAGCCCATGGCAATTGTCATTCAGTCTGTATGAATTTGGCTACTCTTGGTACCTCATATAAGTGGACTCGTACAGTATTTGTCTTTTTGTCACTGGCTTTTTTCATTTAGCATAATGTCCTTAAGATTTACCCATGCTCAGCAGGTGCCAGAATCTTTCTCCTTTTCAAGGCTGAATAATATTCCATTGTATGCCTGTACTCCATTTTGTTTGTTCACTCATCTATTGATGAATATTTGGGCTGCTTCCACTTTTTGATTATTGTGAATAACATAAACATTCTATTTTAAGAATAGATTAAAACATTATCCTTTATTTGAAGAGGTAAAAGGCAATACCAGTTAATAAGGTTGAATATATGGGAATAAAGATGTTCATATTTCTACCCAGTCTCTGCCCAGTTTTAAAAACAGAAGCCAGATCTAATTACTGTAAGTTATCAAAATACTTACTTTTTACTGTTGTTTTTTTTTTAAACTTTAGATTTTGGTCCTAAAAACAGATTCTCAGGATCTTGTTGCTTCCTTCAGAGTAACAACTGGAACAAGCAATACCACAGCCATTAAGTCAATAGAGTTTGCCCGGAAGGGGAGGTAAGACCTTGTCTTTTTAGGGACAGTTTTAAAATTGAGTGGAATGCAAAGCTATTTAAGATTCACACTGTTTGTGTGTATTATACTTAAAATTGTTTAAAGTTTATTTAAAAAATGGTTATTAGAAACTGCCAGTGTCTGATTCTTAAGTTCATAAAATTTATTGCATTATACCAGCATTTACATCTTCCTTATCTGGACGTTATCAGGCAGTTCCTTTACAGAAAGGTTATCTGAGTGATACGTGCTTAGAACCAAAATGCTTGGCACATGGTTAGCCCTGGGTAAAGATTAGCTATTATTATTAGAATAGATGTCACAGAATTCACACAGTAACCGAACATATACTTTACTCACGTAAGACCTGTTTCCCCCTTTAATTTCAGATGTTTTTCTGGTAAGTTTGGTTACCCATCTAGAAGTAGATATATCAACAGAGACAGGAAGAAATAGGTAGTCAATAAAAGAGGTAACAGTCATCCTATTTCATATACGAACACCCATTCATGCTTAGAGGACATTCATGTTCAAAATTCTCTTAAATTAAGAAAAGGTTGCCAGGCCAGGGGTGGCTCAGCCGTTGAGCATTGACCTAGGATCCAGGCGATCGGGGTTTGATTCCTGGTCAGGGCACATGCCCGGGTTGCGGGCTCAATCAATGACTCTCTCATCATTGATGTTTCTGTCTCTCCCTCTCCTTTCCTCTCTCTGAAATCAATAAAGATATATTTAAAAAAGAAAAAAAAAAGAAAAGGTTAGTCAGTGAAGTCTGGAAGAAGGTGTGCAATAATATATTTTAGATAGATTTTTAATGTTATTACAGTAAAAAAAGGAACATTTTAAATTGAAATAGTTTATGAACTCATTAAGAAGAGTATATTGTGTATAAAACAGGCCAAAGAAATGAAGTGTTTGTATACATTTAACTGTATCCTTATGAATTCAGCAAGCTGGTTTCAATTTACAGGTCTTGGATCTCAATCAATACTGATGATTAGTTTGTTTGCACATACCAGGTTCAAGGATACACAGAAAGTATATAACATATTCTTGCTTCACATTAAATTTTGGTTTGGAAGGTGACAGATGCATAAGTATTCAAGTTCATTACTTAAATCTTTACTTAGTCTCCCCCCAGTTTATTAGTTGTTTTATGGTACTGTTCTAAGAAACAGGTTGCAATAGAAAATGTTAAGTGTTGACATTTCTCTTCTTTCTGTAGTTGCTTTTTAATTAACACAGCAGATCGGATAATCAGAGTTTATGATGGCAGAGAAATCTTAACTTGTGGAAGAGATGGAGAGCCTGAACCTATGCAGAAATTGCAGGACTTGGTAAATAGGTGTGTGTTTCAACCCAGAAGAATATGTGATAGTTCATGACCTGGGCCCAGGCTCTAGTTCTCCTTGGCTCCTTTCTTTGTCCTTTAGGACTCCGTGGAAGAAATGTTGTTTCTCTGGGGATGGGGAATACATAGTGGCAGGTTCAGCCCGGCAGCACGCACTGTACATCTGGGAGAAGAGCATAGGCAACCTGGTGAAGATTCTCCACGGGACAAGAGGAGAGCTCCTGTTGGACGTAGCAGTGAGTAGAATGAGAGGTTGCTGTTGTTACTTCTGAAACACAGAATATCATGGATTCATTCTTAGAATTGATTTTTCTTTCCTTCATTAAATGTAGTGGCATCCTGTTCGACCCATCATAGCATCTATTTCTAGTGGAGTGGTATCTATCTGGGCACAAAATCAAGTAGTAAGTATTTTTCTGGTTTAATTACTTTGACACTAGAAATCCTTTCTTTTTAGCAAAGAATTTTACAAATAGTAAGTTAAAAATTACCTTACTTTCTTTTTTTGCATATGATTCTTGTAACCTAATTAAATAGGTTCAGTGTATCTAGCTTTGCTTTATTTTGATGGGATGGTCTTGGGCCATAGCTGATTTACTAGTTGTTTTCAGTGACAAGTCTAGTGGACTTTCTCTTACATTTTTCTATTTTTTATCTGAGATAGATTTTTCTTTTTCTTTTCTTGTTTTCAGCTCAGTTGTTTTCTGTTTTATATCTTGGTTTTGTTTTCAACACTTTTAATTATATTTGTAATCAGTGTACTCATAATCAGTCACATACATGAAAGATTTGAAGATATCATACCCTAGAATTTCCTTTACTTAGTGAATTTTTTGGGTTATAAAGCAATTTTGTTAACACCTTGGATAATGGTTTATTAGCAATCTAGAAAATGTGTAGAACTCTGATCATTTTGCCTTTTTTGCCCTTTGGGCAGTACTGAGAAAGTATTGGGTGGAGGTTTGGGTGCTGGATTATTGCTTCAATGAAGAAGAGTAAGTGGGAGTTGGGAGTTCATTTTACCTCAGAATTACATCTTAAAAAGATTAAAGATGGCAGGTTTTTCATGAAAGAGCTATAGTTAATAATGACTTGGAACGTTTAAGGTAGGAAATACCTTAATATAGTAAAACCTATAGATACCTGATTTTCATTACCCACCGAATTTGATCACAGAATTCTAAGTTTCTTTCATTTATATCATTAATGTCTACAGTACAGACTGTTGCTTTCTCAGACAGTTATGTAGTATATTTTGTTTGTGGCGTAGGAAAATTGGAGTGCCTTTGCACCAGACTTCAAAGAGTTGGATGAAAATGTAGAATATGAGGAAAGGGAATCAGAGTTTGATATTGAAGATGAAGATAAGAGTGAGCCGGAGCAGACAGGTAATATTTCCCAACTGCAAATAGTATTTCTCAAAGTGAAAATGATTGCTTTATTTAGTATTCATTCTTTGTGTTTAAACTTTATTTCATCACTTAGTCTAAAATGGCACCTTTTTTAAATTGACTGAGGGCTTATGTGGGCACTATTACTAGGATTTAACAGCTCTCTCAACATTTCACTTTGTATTTCCCGATTAATTGCAGGTGATTGAATGAGAATTTACCTGCAGCATTTAGCAAAGCTCCCACACATGCTGGGTGGTCAGGGGTATCATGTATTGTCACTCCTTTGTCAGTAGGATGAAGGTAAAGAGCTCGAGCTCTGAGTCATATTGTGTTAGGAAAGATACTTATTCTTTAAACCTGAATGTCCTCATTTGTTTAATAGTATTAATAATAATAGAACCTGCCTTTTAGGGTTGTGAGGGAATAGATGAGGTACTTCACCTGAAGCACTCAGTGTAGTGCCAGGTGTGATAGGCATTCAGAGGTCAGTTTCTATTATGATCATGATCATTGGAATTTTTGTCTTTGTCTTCTGAACTTCTTGATGGGAAAGTCCTTGAGAATAAAGATTTGACTTTTTATCCCCATGGTGTCTAACACAGGGCTTTATGTCTAGTAGGGGTTTGAGTGTGAATGCTTAGTCTGCCCAGTTGGCACTGTGAGTGAATAATTAATGCCACAGGTCACGTTGATGGTGCTGGAATCAGGTCCCTGTTTTGTAATACTAGATAACTTACACCCTCATGTTTTAGGAGGATCACCAGGAATGCAGCATGTGGTAGACGTATTGGTATCACTGAATTATGTCCTGTGACGCTTCCCTGAACTTTCACATAAGCTGTGCCTGGTTCTCATCTACTTAGCACATTGAACATACCTTTACTGTAGCACTTACTGTGTTGAATTGAAATGACCCGTTCATGTCTGTCTTCCCAATTAGACTGTGAAGCTTTTACTGAAAAACTGTTCCCAGCTGTCTTAGTATCACTGTAGTCCCAGTGCCTAGCGTATGTTGGAGATTCAGCACATATTTGTTGAATGATTAAGTAAAATGAACTGTTTAGTTTTCCTCCTTTGTTTCTTCTGAATTTCAGTTTATGAAAATCATTGAGCTAAAAGTAAAAAGTAGTTTTGCACTTTTCACATCTCTGCTATGTGTCTGTCCTGCAGGGGCTGATGCTGCTGAGGATGAGGAAGTGGATGTCACCAGTGTGGACCCGATTGCTGCTTTCTGTAGCAGGTGAGCCACCACTGGGGCTCGTCCTCATTTCGCCTCTGGTGTTGTACTTATCAGGTTCCCCTAGATGGCCCTTCAGTCCCATCTGTTTATTAACCCCAAAAGATGTCTGCTTTGGTGTATAAGAAATCCCTTCCTTTCTCCCCTGATAGAAAATCTTAAACTAAAATAATTCATTTATACCATTTAATTTTACTACTGATTTTATTAATCATGTTGTCAGATATCCTTTCATTCATATTGGCTTTCTTAGAGTTCTAGATCCATACCTGTTGCTTATGGTTAATAGAGGTCATTCTGTCCTAGAGGAAGGGTTATTATTTTAAGCAACTGTCTCCTTTTTTTCCCATCCCTTGTCTGATCTTATTCCAAATAGTGATGAAGAACTGGAAGATTCAAAGGCTCTGTTATATTTACCCATTGCCCCTGAGGTAGAAGACCCAGAAGAAAATCCTTATGGCCCCCCACCGGATGCAGTTCAAACTTCCTTGATGGACGAGGGGGCTAGCTCAGAGAAGAAGAGGCAGTCTTCAGCAGATGGGTCCCAGCCACCTAAGAAGAAACCCAAAACAACCAATATAGAACTTCAAGGAGTACCAAATGACGGTAAGAGCCGTCTTCTCTCTGGTGCCCGGTAGGCACCACTTTTTACTCTCCAGGACAGTCTGGTCATTTCCTGTTTTGGTGATTTTATCTTAAAGGAGTTTTCCCATGAGTCTTCTTTATAGTGCTTTACAACTTTGTAATGATTCATGTGCTTTCACTTCTTTCAAAATGGGGAGGTTCTGCCCTCTGTACTTTGCCTGCAGATACAACGACACAATAAGCCTTTTGACGTGTGGCTCAGAGTTTGTTTCGTTATGCCACCGTTCCCATAGCCACCCCCGCCCCCACCCCGTCCCTTGAAGATTTTATTAGGGGGTAAAGTGCTAGTCAGACTTGGACAGTCTTTTCTTTCCTCCTGTGTACTTTTTACAGTCTCCTTTATTATCACGTGTTTGAGTCAGGATTCTTACCCTGGTCTCTAGTTCCAAAACCCATCTTCTCTCTCTTCTCGCATGAAATTGTGGATATGTGCATTCCTGTTCTGCCTTGGTGTGTATAGTGTCGTTGTGTCCTTCGGCTACTTTTTCAATTAGAGCCACCATGACTTGGTGCAAACCACGTATGCTGCATGCGCCCTTTGGCCAAGTAACTATTTCTCAGTTAATGGCCATTGTTTTTATAGTTTTATAAATAATAAGCAAAGCAAATATTTCTCCTTGTGTTAGCGGATCTGGGACCCACGGGCAACATTCTTTGCTCATGGATAGGTGGCATGCCATGTGCTCAGTCAGGGTGATGGGACTGGTGGTGTATGGATTCCTTTCCATGCCTATCTGTCCTTTTACAGAAGTCCATCCACTACTGGGTGTGAAGGGGGATGGCAAATCCAAGAAGAAGCAAGCAGGCCGGCCTAAAGGATCAAAAGGTAAAGAGAAAGATTCTCCATTTAAACCGAAACTCTACAAAGGGGACAGAGGTTTACCTCTGGAAGGATCAGCGAAGGGTAAAGTGCAGGCGGAACTCAGCCAGCCCTTGACAGGTAAGGACACATTGGGAGCGCTGTCTGGCTTGCTTTGTGGCCTTGCTTTGTACAGCCCCTGACTCCGTGTACCTGCAGCATTTTTTCCTTCCTTCCTCCTTTTTCCAAGTGGCAGATATTCTCTGAGTTTTAAGCTTCCAACAAGGGCAGGCTAAACCAGATTTGCCTTAATTCAGTGGCCCTTCACCTTGGGTCCCTATATAGGTTTCAGGGGGTCTACATTCCCTTGATATTATATGCAGAATATTGTGTGAATATTTGTGTGGTGAAGATGCCCATAGCTTTAATTAGATTCCTATCAAAATCCATGACCTGAAAAGGGGTAACAACCCCTGGTTTAATTGTTTAATTCAGTCCTTCATCTGTATTTGCTCTTAGGTGTTTTGTTTTGCCTCAAATGAAAGAGCCATGCAGATAACCAGAACTATAAGCCTGCTCTATACAGCCCCTGGCTCTTTGCAGCTTTTCTCCTCCCTCTTCTTTTCTCTTTCTTCTCTCTCTCTCTTTCTCTGTCTCTTCCAGTTGTTCAAATCCCAGAGCTTTTTCTCTCTCCCAGTAGTCTAGAAGCAATAATTAAGTTGTTGGTAGTACTGTCATGATAAAAAAGATGAATCGTCTTGTTTTTTTCAAACAAGAGGAAATTACCAAAAACATAGAAACTGCAGAATCTTTTAGCTTCTTAACACCTAAGCCTTTTGAAACTTACTGAGTTTTCTCACTTTGATGTGATTGAGGAATTTTTATCGGGGGATAGGAGAACAGTTTCAGTTTTCTATCAGATATTCGTGACTAGGCTAAATGATCACTTGTTTGGAAACTAGTAATCAAATTAGAATCTATTTCTATTCAAACGTGGTTGGGTTTTAGAAACTTTTCATTTTATATACAAGCACTGCTTAGTTAATATGATACTCTCAGTTTTCTGTGGCTGGGTCAGTAGACTCAGAGGCTGGACTGATAAAATATCAGGTTGCATTCAGGTTTTCCCCCCTTGCTGTAAAATTGTAATGTCAGTGCCTTAATGCAGGTGTGGTGGCGGGAGGCGCTGGAGTGTGAGACAGCTCCTCGCTTACCCCTTCAGCCAGCCAGTCGTGCGCGTGACCCCTCTGCAGAGAGGCCGGAGCAGACTCGGCTGCTCCTCTCTTTGAGTTATTGTGCCTCCGAGTAGCTGGAGTTTAGTGTTTTGCAGCCCAGCCCACACCATGGGGCACTGCCATTTTTCTGACAACAGTATTTAAGGTGCTTCCCTGACACTGTTACTACCTCCTTATTCAATCCACGTAAGGCTCTGTTTGTGTGTGTGTGTGTGTGTGTGTGTGTGTGTGTATATTTTTTATTTTATTTTATTTTTTTAATATATTTTTACTGATTTCAGAGAGAGGGAGATGGAGAGAGAGAGAGAGAGAGAAAAACATCAATGATGAGAGCCACTGATCGGCTGCATCCTGCACGCCCCCTGCTGGGGATCAAGCCCGCAACCTGGGCATGTGCCCTGACCAGGAATGGAACTGTGATCTCCTGGATCCTAGGTCGGTGCTCAACCGCTGAGCCACGCTGGCCACGGGCTATATATTTTTAAATAGTCTGAAAGATTTATATGGGTATCGCCAACAAAGTTTGCATCAACTCATTAAATAAAAATAATTCTTTCATAACCCACTTGTACAAGTTGATGCTACTACAGAAGAAACACAATTTAAGGTTTAAATCAGTTTTTCTGCCCCAGAGAGCTGAAATGCTTCAGGGGGATTTAAAATGTGCCCAAACATATTGAATTAATTAAAATATTCTAGGACATAATCTCCTAGCTCCTTCAAAAGCTGTCTGTAATTAATCATTTACTTTGTAATAGTAAATGTATAGTAAATAAACCATTAAAAATTTTTAAAACTCACATTTTTCTCTCTATAATACAGTGACTTCAACTTTTAATTTTAGTTGATGTGGTCACTAACAGTGACTAAATATCTCTGGCATTTGCCAAACTGGGTTTCTGTTAGCAACACCGTGAGGTTGGCGTTTGCCTCAGAGCATGGCAGCAGTGGTGTTTCTCAGCTGTGCTTCAAAAAGATCTGAAAGAGTCAAAATCAAAATGTTGGAAAGTTTACTAAGCCTTAAAAGAATGGGGCTTTTTATTTACTAAAATTCTCAAATTACTTAATATAGTTTTCAGTGAAAGTTTGAACTCTCTGTAGGCTCCATATTTTAGTATTGGTACAAGTCAGCATTTCAAAGCTCCTAGGAAGAATAGATGCCATTATCAAGGGCCTGTTAGAAGTTCCTTCCCACTCACTTTGCTGACAGGGTTAAGCGAGGCACCACCCTCATTAAAGGCTAGAACCTACATCTTGGAATGGGTGCTTCAAACTGGATTTTTGTTTCCCACATTCTTTTTATTAGGCATTTGAGTTGGTCAACCTTAAATAGACACAGCTATTTTAACAGCTTTATCCTTTAAAAGAACTGCAGGAGACTTTCATACAATAGAGCCAGGGTGATGATACATTTTCTGACAACACACAAACAGAACAACTGCATAGATTACTGCAAACATCCCAACAACTTCTCGTGATTGTTTGCAGACATACTTCCCCATGTAATCTAGGCTTCCTTCTGCCTGTTTTCTCCTTTCTTCTCTGGCCTTGGTTTCCTGACCTTTTCCTGAATGGAAATCTCAAAACTGAAATGGCCAAATTAAACTCCAGAGTTTGCTGAGGGGCAGGATCATTAAAAACCCTCAAAGGGGCATTATGGTTTGGTTCCCAGACTTTCTCAGAAGGGCTGCATCCAGCTTTACCAACTAGCTGCAGTTTGGTTAGGATCTTTGTGATGGCTGCAAATCTAGGGGAGAGTGGTGAAACTGTGGATTACAGGTAACTCCATCAGAAGTCTCGGTTTCAGGACACCCCATCATATCTTCTGTGTGGCATTTTTTGGTCAAGTGTGGGGCTTCATCCAATACTGTGGTCAGCTTGGAGGGCCCTGAGTAAGCACAGGCTGGCTGGCACATGCTGTTGATTTTCTCATGGTCCCCAAATGGCACAAAGGTAAAAACTCTGGCATTTGAGTTTCATGTTCTTCCACACCTTGAAGATTCTCAATAAAAAGCAGCATGCAGTCATTGTAGAGGATCGCATACACACAAAATCAGTTCAGTCTGAGGGTTGTATTTCTAGATTCAAGGTTTTGTGGACATCCCCTCCCCTCCCAAATGCCCTAGTTTTGCATTAGAGTTAAATTGTTTGAAGGCAAGATTATAGGTGTAGGTTGTGTTACTGCTCAAGTTAGATAAATGACAACTGTTTGTTAATATCTGCATTTTAGCAATTATTAGAGAAACTGTTTGGTAAGCCCTGATTAGCCCTGACAAAGCTGCTATAGTGTGTTCTTTATTGCAACAGGACATTATGCATTTCAAGGGGAGATTGAAAGATACATAGACCACTATAGAAATAATCTGCTACCTGGAATCCAGGGCTACAGAAAATTCTTTCCTGTCAAATAGCTATCAGTATTGGATAGCACCAGTGGACCAACATCCATGAAGACACACTTTCTGTGATGAGGGAGGACCCATCAGTGAAGTGTAGTGATCTTGGGACTTTTTGGAAAGGCCAGATCGGACTTTTTGGAAAGGCCAGATCAACATGGCACTTACCAGGTTCCTCACAATTACCTTATTAGATACTTTCCAGAGGACAGTCCTCAGATCAGAAACTTGAGGTGGGAGCAGAACCACTAGTGTCCCTGTTGTCCTGTGACTGCTCAAGGATTGCCAAAAAACTCAGGCTCCTTGGCGGTAAACATCAGTAGCAAGTATGACAAAGCTGTGGTCTGTCAGCATACATGGTGTGAAGGCCTTGAGAGATGGTGGGCATGAATGGGTTAGTGTGCACTTGGGTCTAATGGGAGTGGCAAAGACTAAAATGAACAGAGGTACTGCTTCTTGGGGTGGACAGGCACCAGGGAGATTTCCCTGCGTTTGGCCTCCCACTGCCCCCCTAAGGCAGGCCCACCACCTTGGGCCTTCACACCATCTCCCGAACCTGTGATTGTTTTGAGTGTTCGGTAGTGAGTGAGGGTTTTTGTTCCTCTCTTCTTTGATTTTTAAAAAATGGTCAGTCAGAGACTTAATTTATGCATTTCTTCTAAAATCAGGTGACTATTTGGATATTGTTTCTCATTCCTCATGATTTTATTAGCTGACTAAGCTAAGTATTTAAAAAATCAATATCCAGCCCTGGCTGCTGTGGCTCGGTTGGTTGAGCATCGTCTTGTGCCCCTGAGGGTTGCCGGCTTGCTTCCTGGTCAGGGCACATGCCTGGGTTTCGGGTTTCGGGATGCGATCCTCAGTCAGTGTGTGTATGAGAGACAACCAATGGATGTTTCTCTCTCTCTCTCTCTCTCCCTCTCTCCCCTCCCTCTCTTCTTCTCTCTCTAAAATCAATAAAAATGTATTTTTTACAAAAATCAATATCCAGTATTTTCTTAGGCCACCTTGGCTTGGGCTGCTATTGGAAGGTACCAGTAGTAGCCATTCATCATGAGCTGAATTTTATGTTACTGTAGGTTGCCTTTATGTTGCAACTAAATAATACGTGTCCTTGGAGCAGACTTTAAATAGCCTGGAGGCCTTCTCTTGTGCTGCTCTTTCTGTCTTTCTTGCCTTGCTCATAGTATGATTGCTCTGGTTTTGGTTTGTTTTGGCTTTTCTGTCATGATTTAGGCTTAAAATGTCAATGTTGTGTTCCTTTTTAAACTATTAAAACTAACTTGGTTAGGGTACCTGAGGGGACAGTCGGCAAAACTAAACTTAAAGTGTTAAGTGGTGTAGATTCTTCTATCTCAAGATTTTTTAAAAATAAGCTCAAGAGATTAATTATTATGTTTTTGTTGAGAGAGATCTGCATAACAGGTGCTATTAATAAACTTTTTATCTTACTGAACTATATAAAGTTTAAATTTGATTTTTGACAGTATAGCATCCAGGCGAGTTTATAATTTCAGTCTGTTCTCAGGCAAATGGGAATATATTTTTACTGCCAGTTTTCATTTGTGCTTTAATTTTTCCTTATAAAGCAGGTTAAAGACAAAGTGTATAAGTGGGTACTGTTCTTCCATAACTCGGGCAATTATTTTTTAACCAGTTTACCTTCAGGTGGCATGTTCTCCCCCATCCCAGTGACATCTGGGAGGATTTTCTTCACCTTGTTCTCTTTTTACACTTCCTAGTTAATATTTCACAGCAGCCCATTTAAGGAAGTCCCTCAGAGGTTGAACAGCTTCTATGGAGGAATCAGGAAAGTGTTCATTTGATTTTACTATTGAGGATTTTATTTATGATCAGTTGTTGGCATACAGGGATGCCAATAATAGTTTTCATTAACATTTCATCATATTTGGAATTCTGAGGTGATGAGAATGTCACTTGAGGAACAGGGGTGCTTGGGAAAGCGTTTGTTGCTCAGTTAATCATTTAGTGACTAATCAGTCTAACATATGAAAGATTTGAAGGTGTTGTACCCTAGAATTTCCTTTACTTACTGCACTTCTTGGATTATAAAGCAATATTTGTTAACACCTTGGAGAATAGTTCATTAGCAGCCTAGAAAATGTGTAGAACTCTGATTATTTTGCCTTTTTGCCCTTTGGGGCAGTACTGAGGAAGTACAGGATGGAGGTTGGGGTGTTGGATTATCGCTTCAATGGAGAAGAGTAAGTGGGAGTTGGTTTTAATTTAAAGGGGGTTCTTAGCCCATGTGTGCTTGTCATGCGTCATTCAGAATCCATCAGTGTTTTTGTTCTTGTAAGTAACTGGTCTAAGTTGATACTAAAAGAAATCTTTTTGTGTCTAATCTCTTCAGCAGGGGGAGCAATCTCTGAACTGTTATGAAGATCCTTGAAGTGCTTCAGTCTCTCCCACTTTTCCATCATGTGGACTCTGGACACTGTCAGTCATTTGAAATTGACTTTAAAAATGCCTCTGCTTCACCCAGGAGGTGGAAGGAGTGAATTTTATGTTTGAATGAAGAAGTGAATTATGAAAGAAGAGTATATGTCCCTTCCCTTTCAAGCAGAAGTCCAAATAGGCTCTCAGGAATGAGGATTTGTGAAGACATCACATGGGAGTTTGACTCATTTAAACTTTAATACTGAGTAATTTGCTGGAGAAAAGATACCTGTTTTGCTCATCTAATTTCATTGCACCCAGCATCCTTTTGACCTGTCATTTCCCGTTTCCTATATGCCTTCTGTCATCAGTGACTTGTTCTTACCGAAACTCTGCTGCCAGTACCCTTGGAAAACTTCGGTTGCATGTTCTTCCGTTTTGAAGCTTAGTCTTTCACCAGGTCCGCCCGTATTTCCATATTGTGTACAAAGGACGGGCAGAGAAGAAAGTGCTTGAGACATTTGATGTTTCTAGAAAGGGAGGGGAGATGAGCAAGGCCTCTCTTCCCATTTGCTCAAGCTGGGCTGGAAGAGGCGTTTTTGCTTTCCTTTCATGGTGTGTTTCCCTCCAGTATTGGTTCATTCTCATTAATCATGGTGTGTTTTTTTAAGGTAGCTAGTTTCATCCGTCTCCAGCAAAGAATCATCAGTAGTTTATATTGCTTTACTTGTGCTGGCTTCCAGAGATGGAAACAAACCAAGGTGTCTCTCAATAGGCTTCTTTTTCACTGGGGTGGGGGAATCTATGCAAGGACTGCAGTAAAGCCTCCCAAAGTCAAAGCAGCAGCAACAGTTCAAATCACAGATGAAGGAACGAATTTTTTTTATCATTGTGGATCTCTGTCCTTCCCTCAGTCATCACATCTCCCCTCCTTGTATTCAAGCTCCTTTTCCTTATGACACGTTTCACTCACTTCCTTTCTATGAAAGGTTGCTTAGCTTTTAAAATTTTTTTACATTTTGCTTTTGCTGTTCTTTTATATCAAAAGTAGCAGATTGGATGGATGTGTACATTAGGTGTTTGAAATTCTCTGAAAATCCAGAGTAAAGAAACCAGT